TAGCTTTCTCTACCCGCCCCCCTTATTAATTATCTAATTACAACCACATTCTCCAAGAGAGAGCAGCCTTTGACTTTCTGCCCAGGACCACTTAAAAAGGCTTAAATATTTGGAGTGCTCTGAACTTTGAAAAAGTGTGTGTGTGTGTGTGTGTGTGTGTGTGTGTGTGTGTGTGTGTTTCATATGCATGGGAAAATATATCTTGGCCTTTTCAGATCCTTGCCTTGATTCAGCAAAGGCTTCTGGAATTCTCGAGGATGTAGGCTGGCATGGTGAAGCCCGGGGCTGGGGATTGGGAAAGGGCTGGGGGTGAGGGTGCGGGACGATATGACCCCTGGACACTGCTGTGTAGCATCAGACACCCACGCACACAGGGACACACACAGACCCACTCACACAGAGGCACACGCCTACACAGACACTTGCACACTGACACTCCCCAGGGACACACACAGACCCACTCACATGGATGCACACACTCACATTGACACACACATGGACCCACTCACAAGGATGTATACAAACATTCACACTAGTACTTCCATGGGAAAACACTCATGATGCACACACACACATGATCCACACGGACACACACACACAGACCAACTTACATGGATTCTCATGCTCACACACAAAATTTATACAGCTTGCACATGGACACACACACTTCTTGACATTCTTTCATACTCAACTCACACTCTCACACTAGTGGGCACACGCACACAGACACATGCACCAATGTCATCGAGGACCGCATCACACGTCCCTCCAGCTTCCAAACGTGCCTTCCACATTCTCCCCCAGTGCCCGGGGCCTTCCTGGGCCTCCTTCCCTGTGGCAGAATCCTCAATCCTGGCGGCCGCTTTGGGAAGCCCATGCCAGCCTCTCCGCCGACACCCACGACACCCAGCCCCTCGCGGGGAGGAGGGTCTCATCGCGCTGCTTTACCCCTTGGCTCAAGGGGCTCTCCATTAATTCTCGCTGGACATACTCACCTCCCACAGGCTCTGCAAGTCAACTGGCTTTTCTCATGTTTGTGCAACAGGCATGGCAGTGACACACGGGCACCAAAGGTCTCAGGGGCTCAGGGCCAGTCTGCAGCGATTCCTGATAGAGCTCGGGTCTCCTGGCAGGACAACGCCAGCTTGGGAGCTGCTGCAGGCTAGCCTGGGCATGTGGCGGAAGCGGCCCTGGGGCGCGGCGTGGGTCGCACCTGTGTGCACCACATCCCTGACCAGAGCTGATGCCACTTGCATGTCCCCTGCCCTGTGGGCCCCACTACGGTGCCTCAAGACCTTGGGCTCATGACCCCACGTCCCTGTGCAGCCTGAATCTCAGACGCTGGCCTGGGCACCTCCCAGCACCTTCTCTATGAGCTCAGTGGGCACAGAGGACAGCGCGGGGTTGAGGTCCTCACACTGGCCTCCTGGAGGACCTGGACTTTCCTCCTGCCTGTGTCTCCTCCCCTTGCAGGTGGGAACAGGGCTCTGGGTAGCGCCTGTGCTGGTTCTTCCCCAAGGCGCTCGGGACGGCAGGTCGCAGTCCAGAGCTGCACCAAGCCTGGCACAGCCACAGGTTGACTGGGCCACGAGTGCGCTTAAGTCACTTGTGTGGCACGAAGGGACCTTGAGGGGCTGGAAGAATTGTGTACCTTGATCACAGTGGCAGGTGCAAGAAACAATACGCATGATGAAACTGCAAGAAGTCTACATATGCCACACCCACATACAAACACACACAATACACAAAAACACACAAACATTCCACATAACCACGTATACACACAAACACACACCACACAGACATACCACACACTACACACACATCCCACACTGTGCATACACACCATATACACACACACCACACATATAAACACACTGCACCCCACATACAAACACACACCACATACACCACACACAAACACACACTATGTGACACACAAACATACCACACATTATACACACCCCCAACATTGTACATACACACCACATACACATACAGTCACATACAACACACAAAGACATACCACACCTCCACAAACACACACACAAACACATACCACATATACCACACACCAAACATATCACACACTACACACACTACACACTGTACATACACATCACATACACACACAAACACACCACGGCCCCCCCCCACACACAAACACACACCACATACACCACACACCATATAAACATACCACACAGTACACACACACTACACACTGTACATACACACGCACATCACACCCCACACACAGAAATTCACACCACATACACCATACAAACGTACCACACACACATACACAGATATACCACATACACATACATAATATACTATACACATTACCCACTAGGTACTACACATACATACCCCACACACATACACATGCCACACTGAACACACATACCACACACAAAATACCACATCCCCCCCACACACCACATAACCATGCACCACACATACCACACACTACACACAACCCACACTGTACATACACACCAAATGCACACACAAACACATACCACACACACAAACACACCACACACCCCCATACACACAGAAACACAAATCACATACACCACACAAACATACCACACACTACACACAGCCCACTCATTGCACAAACATACCACAAACACAGAAATACAGACAACATACCATACACACTGCACACTATATGCCACACATACATACCCCACACCACACACACACACCCCCACGCACACCACACTGTACATACATACCACACACACACACACGGCATACTGTAGATACATACCAAACACACACACACCACACTGTACATGCATACCACACACAAACCCACAAGAGTGACGTGAATAAGCTCTTGGCCCATACTGGTGCCATATATCTGGGTGTGATGTGATGACACCATCGTATGTGTGCTATATAATGTGTAGTGTGTATGATATGTTGTCTGTGTGGATGTGGATGTGGTATGTGCAGTGTGTGGAGTGTGCTGTGTGTTTGTGGTATGTGGTGTGTGTTTGTGTATGTGGGGGCATGGTGTGGTTGTGTGTGTAGTATGTGTGTGTATGTCTGTATGTACAGTTGTGTGTGTGTAGTGTGTGGTATGTTTGTGTGCTGTGTGATGTATGTAGTGTGTGTGTGTATGTGTGGGTGTGTTTGGTGTGTGTTTGTGTGTATGTGTGTGTGTGTTTGTGTGTGGTATGTGTATGTGTTGGGTATGTACAGTATGGAGTGTGTGTAGTGTATGCTATATTTGTGTGGTATGTGGTGTGTGTGTTGTGTGATATGATTGTGTAGTGCATGTTTGTGTGTGTATCTGGGGGTGTGGTGTGTCTGTGTGTGTGTCGTAGGTGTATATAGTGTGTACAGTGTCGGGTGTGTGTAGTGTGTGGTATGTTTGTGTGGTGTGGTGTGTGTTTGTGTGTATGTGGGGTGTGGTGTGTTTTTGTGGTGTGTGTAGTGTGTATTTGTGTGTGTATGTGGTGGTGTGGTGTATTTGTGTGTGTGGTTTGTATATGTGGTGTGTATGTACAGTATGGGATGTGTGTAGTGTGTGGTTTTTTGTGGCGTGTGGTATGTGTAACGTGGCATGTTTGTCTTGCGTGTGGTGTGTATGTAGGTATGTGTATGTAGGGTGTGTGTGGTGTGTGGTATGTTTGTGTGGTGTGTGTGTGTATATGGGAGTGTGGTGTGTCTGTGTGTGTGGTATGTGTATGTACAATGTGTGGTGTGTGTAGTGTGTGGTATGTTTGTATGGTGTGTGGTATGTGTTTGCATATGTATGTGTATGTGGGGGTGTGGGGTGTTTGTGTGTATGGTATGTGTATGTGGTGTGTATGCACAGTGTGAGATGTGTGTAGCGTGTGGTATATTTGTGTGGTGTGTGGTTTGTGTGTGTATGTGGGGGTGTGGGGTGTTTGGTATGTGTATGTGGTGTGTATGTACAGTGTGTGGTGTGTGTAGTGTGTGGGATGTTTGTGTGGTGTGTGTGTGCATGTGTATGTGGGGGTGTGGTGTGGTGTGTGTGGTATGTGTGTGGTGTGTGTGTACATTGTGTGGTGTGTGGTATGTTTGTGTGGTGTGTGGTGTGTGTGTATGTGGAGGTGTGGTGTGTGTGGTATGTGTATGTGATGTGTGTGTACAGTGTGTGGTGTGTGGTGTGTGATGTGTGTGTGCATGTGTATATGGGGGTGTGGTGTGGTGTGTGTGGTATGTGTATGTGGTGTGTATGTGTACAGTGTGTGGTATGTTTGTGTGGTGTGTGGTTTGTATGTGTGTGTATGTGGGGGTGTGGGGTGTTTGTGTGTGCGGTATGTGTATGTGGTGTGTATGCACAGTGTGCGGTGTGTGTAGTGTGTGGTATGTTTGTGTGGTGTGTGGTGTGTGCTTGTGTAGTGTGTGTTTGTGGGTGTGGTATGTGTGGAAACTGGGTGAAAGGCATATGGGACACCTCTATGTTGTTTTTGCAACTTCCTATGAATCTGTAATAGTTTCAGAAGCACAAATTTGAAAGCAAGAACCCGCCCTTGGCCGCTCCCCCCAGCGGCTGACCCATTTCTCTGTGCCCTCCTCCCTGAAACACAGCCCTCTCTGCCCCAAACCCCACAGCGCCCTCAGGCCTGCCTGGGGCCCGAGCTTCTGGTGTCCCCTGGCAGCCTGTCCCAAGGGGCTCACCCACAGCCAGGCAGCACTTGCGGGCATGCCGAGCACCGGCCGGGGAGCAGCCTTGGGGCGGTGAGTGGAGAGAGGGCACTCGGGGCAGGGAAGGGCGCTCTGGGCTTGGCCTGGACCTGGGGCAGGGGTTGCAACGGGCTTTGTTGGCCTGGCAGCAGGCACCTGTCCAGTGTCTCTGGGGGGGACAGGGAGGAGCGTGAATAGAACAGAGCCAGCTCTCTCAGGGCCTGCCCCCTGTCCTACCCTGGCCAGCCTCGGGGCAGTCCGGGGACAACCCTGCCAGGTGCCATGCAAGGCAGCCGTAGCTCACCGACCCCTTCTGTGTCTTCCAGGCTGCCCGTCGCGTCGGCGGAGCAAGTGGAATTGGGATGTGTTGGAATCTGTAACTTCTGAAACCTGAACCACCTCAGGAGGCCCCCACCTCTGCCCTCCACCAGCGTTGAGACAGGGGACAGCAGTGACATCGGAGAGAAGACCCGGGCTCCCATCCTCCCCCAGGACGGTCTCCGGATAGGAAGGGCACTCCCAGCCCCTTGCTGGTGACGTCGCCATGGCCATCCTGTCTCTGTTTGGATTTTTCTTCTGGGGTTTATGTTTGGGGGGAGGTTTATTCTTTCTGAAAATCTCTAGATTCAGGAACACATTTATGAGGATTTGGATTTTGAATTTGTATTTCCCTCTAAGTGCCTTTTTAAATGTATTTTTTTAAATAAAACAGGAATGCATTCTTGTATAATTCTGATTAAACTGGACCAAGGCTCTCAGAAGAGGAACCCCGAGTTCCTTCCCCGCCCCCAAGCCTCTGCATGACAGTTTCAAGTCAGCCTGGAATTCTCATTTTCATGCCGCTTTTCTTTTTCTTTCTCCATGATTTGCTCAGCTAGCCATTTTTAAAAAGTATTTTCTGTTTCAGTGTATATGTTGCTTATTTGTTTTATTTATTGAGATATTTTTACAAGCTAAGGGACTGCAGTGTGGCTGTGTATCCTGCTCCCCACCCAGGAAAAATAAAGACATCCGCGCAGCCCTGGTCTCTCCGTCTGTGTTCTCGTCTCTCCTTCGCAGCTCGGGGCATGGCCTGAGAGAGTCACAACAGGTCGAAACAATGACTGTTGTTTCACTTTAAAAGGGACGAGAGAGGATGCGAGACATTTTATGCTGTGCATAATTGTAGAAATTTCTAGAAACTACCAACTCTAACATGGTTGACAGTGTGAACGGACCCAGGCCTGCGAGAGCAGAGGGGTCCTCAGCCCTTTTCAAGTGCGTAGTCCTCTGCCACTCCCCAGCAGCCTCAGCGCAAGAGACCCTTGCTCTCAAATCCACACCCCACTGATACCAAAATGCGCCCGTCCTGTGTGCTGCCCCCACCCTGCTGTCCAAGGTCAGGGCCAGCCTTCCCAGCTGCTCACCCTGGGTGGCATTCCCTGCTCTTCCAGGCATGACATTCATTTGTGCCACCACCTGCCCACTTCTCCCGAGTCACCCTCTGCTCCACATGCATCCATGCCATGTCAACCATGAGCTCACCAGGTAGCTGGCTAAGGATGGAGCGCTTGGGTGTGTGGGTCAGTTCGAAATCCTGCCCAGAAATCCCGCAAGGACCACGATCTGCCACCAGGGAGAGTCAGCCTGGGTCTGGCGCAGGGGAGCACCTCTGCATGAGGGCAAGGGCTCCATGCTCTGCCCGCTGCCTCCTTACCATGTCAGCACCCATGGGCACAGGGTGGCGGGTAGCGCTTGTGGACTCCAGGGTGGGGGCTTCCCGCTCTGGGGACTGTGAGTCACCAGGTCACTACTCTGAGCCACCAAAAGCATGTCTCCTGGGGGACACCTGGCACTGGACTCTGCTGGGTGGACCTGCCCACAAGCAGTAGACACACAGAGCCTGCCCAGCTCCCAGACAGAGGTTCAGGGAGTGGGGGTCTCTGGCAGGATGGTGGTGGCCTGTGAGCCCTCATTTCCCACTCTCACCCTGCCCCCAGGTCCCCCACAGCAAGGACAGGAGCTCTGGAAACGCCAGCATGACCTCAGCTTCCACCTGGCTCCAGGTGGTGACCTTGATGCAGCACTGGCTTCCCCTGGGGCTGGCATCACCGGGACAGGTCCTGAGGGCCTCTCTAGGTGAGAGATCCCTGCAGCACAAGCCTCAGGACACACTGCATGCAACAAGCACACAGACACACGCATGCATACACCACGAAAGCACACACCACACACACACATGCACATACCACACATACACATGCCCACACACCACACACACACCACCCACACACCCACACCACACACATGCCCACACCACACACACATGCCCACACCACACATGCACACACTACACACACACATGCCCATACCACACACACACACCACACACCCACACCACACAAGCACACACACACACCACAAGCACACAGATACAGAAGCACATACCACACACACATATACACACACATGCACATACCACACATACACATGCCCACACCACACACACACCACACACATGCACACACCACACATGCACACACCACACACACATGCCCATATCACACACACACACCACACACATGCCTACACCACACACACACATGCCCACACCACACACACACACCATACACATGCTCACACCACACAAGCACACAGATACACAAGCACACACCACACACACATAAACACACACATGCACATACCACACATACACATGCCCACACCACACACATGCCTACACCACACACATGCCTACACCACACACACACACCACACACACACACATGCCCACAGCACACACACGCCCACACCACACATGCCCACACCACACACACACACACCACACAAGCACACAGATGCACATGCACACATCCATAAGCACACACCACACACACATATACACACACATGCACATACCACACATACACAGCCCACACCACACGTATACACACCACACACACGTACACACTACACACACAATGCACATGCTGAACACACACATATGCATGCACACATACTGCACACACGCACACACACATGCCCATATCACACACACACACCACACACATGCCTGCATTACACACACACACCACACACACATGCCCACACCACACACACATGCCTACACCACACACACACACCACACACACACACACGCCCACACCACACACGCCCACACCACACACACACACCACACACACGCCCACACCACACAAGCACACACACCACACAAGCACACAGATACACAAGCACACATCACACACACACCACACACACATCACACACAAATGCACACAGACACACACACATGCATATCCACATGACAGATGCATACACCACACACACACCGATGCTCACACTTGGCACACTTCAAACACATGCACACGTACCCATGCCACATGAATGTATGCACATACACACAACCAGCACACACACACACACACCACATGCTCACACCACACAAGCACACCCACAAACCACACAAGCATACAGATACACAAGCACACACCACACACACAAATACACACACATGCACATACCACACATACACATGCCCACACCACACACACACCACACACACACATCACACACATGCCCGCAGCACACACACCCCCACAGCACGCACACGCCCACACCACACAAGCACACAGATGCACATGCAGACATCACATAAGCACACACCACACACACATATACACACACATGCACATACCACACATACACAGCCCACACCACACGTATACACACCACACACACACCACACACACAATGCACATGCCAAACACACACATATGCATGCACACATACTGCACACACGCACACACACATGCCCATACCACAAATGCACACAGACACACATGCACGCATATCCACACGACACATGCATACACCACACACACGCCCATGCACACACTTGGCACACTTCAAACACATGCACACGTACCCATGCCACATGAATGTATGCACATACAAGCAACCAGCACACACACACACACACACACACACACACACACGTGCACACACAAGACTCTAAGGAGACAGAACGGGGCAGCCGTGGTCCCAGCAGCAAGACGCCCCGCCCTCCCCTGTATGCCCGGCAGGCTCTATGGAGGCCCGTGGAGGCCATGAAGACTGCAGAGCCATGGGGCCCTCCCTCCTGAAGTGATTCAAATAGAAATAACCCCAAGTCAAGTAATGCAAAACTCATGGACGGCGGGGCCAGAGGAGCTTCTTTCTTCATTTCCAAGCTGGAAACTTCATTCTTCCTCTGCCCAGTGCCCTGAGCCTGGCTTCCTGCTGAGCAGCAGCCCCTTGTCACCTGTGTGGGGGACCCAGCCCTGCAGTGTCCGTACCCAAGCCCAACGCAGAGGGGCCAAGGGAGGAGAGGGCCCTGTGCAAATGAGGGGGACCCTGGCCCCCTGTGGGAGGTCAGGGATGGAGTTCAGTGTGGGCCTCAGAGCTGCCACCCGAGGGGGATGTCCCGGGAGGTCCCGGCGGCAGCTGCATCTCTGGGCATCACTGGCTGCTGCCTGCTCCCAGTCACCTGCCACACACCCTGGTCAGCATATCAGGGTCTCCTCCTCCCCCAGCCCTGGCCTCTCCTGGGGTCTCTCCTGGGGCTTTGTCTCCAACTCTGAGTGTCCTAGGAGTCGGTCACCAGCACCTTGGGCTACATGGAAATACACAGCCATGAATAGTGGGCTCACTTCCTTTCACCCCCGCACGCTCGTTCCAAAAAGAGGTGCTGGAAGATGCTGGCTTCCGGAACACGTGTGTGTGCGTGTCTGTGCATCCATACGCATGCTGCCGTGCGTGTACTTGCGTGTGTGCAATGCATGTCTATGGATGTAGGTACAGGTGTTCTCCTGTAACGTGCTGCTGGCCCCTCCTCCCCAGGCATGTCGTGAGGCCCCTTCCCTGTGGTAGCTTCTGCTCCAGGGTCTCCCAGCTGCTCTGGGGTCAGTCAGAGCCCTCTGTAGTCATGACCCTGGGAACAGGTCTGCGTGAGCTGGCGTGACGTGTTTCCAGGGCCTGCCTCTGGTCAGGTGAGCAGTGAGTGCACAGAAGAGGAGAGTGTTCGGAAAACCCACCCCAAACCCACCTCACTCCCACCTGTGCTCCAGGGCAGCCCGGCGGAGCCCCCTCAGGAGAACAAAGCTGTCAGAAGATCAGGTCAGCCCCAGGGGCCTGGGTGCAGACATGGGGGGTGAGGGGACCCGGAAGGGCAGTGGCACTGCAGGGACCCCGCACCCAGCCAGGCACTGGCATTGCAAACCAGCCTAGAGGGAAGGTCAGTGCCCAGGCAGGTGGCGGCCCTGAGTCTGAATTTCATCCCAGGGCGAGACACTCTGCGTGCGGGGTCCCTCGGCAGGTCTGCAGCCTCGGGTCTGAAACTCGGCCTTGGGCCTGTGCAGCAGCCAAGACCAACATGTCTTGATGGAAACGTCTCGCTCCTTGCTTTTGAAAGCAACGGCAGACAGAAGTGGGACTTCCAGGTTGTAGCTGAGGGAACACAGGCTCTGCGGGAGCCGGGAGTCAGTGGGCGGTCAAGAGGCAAAGGGGTCAGTGTCTCCCTGCGCCCCTAGTGCCATCTGCAGGATGCCCTGTGCCTCTGAGTGACACAGTTTGAAGGGCTGTGGGCAGCCCTGAGCCCTCAGAAGAGGGGGTGGGTGCCCTCATAGGGTAAGGCAGAGTGAGGATGTAGGGTCTGGAAGGGTGGGGCCTGGGGGCAGGCGGAGCTTTCCATGTGGCTGCAGAGCCCCAGGGTAGCCCGCCTTGTGTCATCCGCACCTGCGGGGCCGTGAGAATGGCTGCCAGTCGTAGAATTGGTGCGGTCGGAGGCTCTCTGCACACCTCGATGTAAGTAGTGTGGTACACCTGCGGGCCTGCCATGTGTAGGGGCCGACCTGCCCAGGGCGATCTGCCCCACAGATGCCTTCAACCACAGGCTAAGATGTCTCGTCGTCTGGGGCCGAGGCCATCTGCTAGAAGGGGGACCCGGAGCAGCCGCCGCAGGCAAAGGGGAGTATGGGGCATGC